CCCCAAAACCCCAAAACCCCAAAACCCCAAAACCCCAAAACCCCAAAACCCCTTGCAACAAAAGGAAGCTTGATAATTATATAATTATTAAATATGCTATCTCTTAAAGAGTAATCTCTACTATAACAGCCTAGGCTTATGGAAAAGCAGAAAGAAATCGAAAATCAAATTAATCATGAAAAGCAAATTAACAAAAATAGGCTAGAATCTGTGAAATAAAGGTGTTATTCTTCCTAATTTCTAGGGCAGGCAATCACATTTGCGGAGTTTAAAAAGCAATCAGAGTCTCAGAAAAATAACGTCAGTATGCATATATTTACTTAAAAACCTTCTTACTTTTTAAATACAGCATAAACTCTTTCTCCCAGATTGACCTATTTGTATAGCCCAGGTTACACAAGCTGAGAGTAAGCTGTAAATATTAACTCATAAAGCTCAGTTTTGAAACAAAGCTGTTAAGAGAATACAAAAGAAATAAAACACAAGTGTTCACGAAAATGGGGAAGAAAATAACTGATGCTTTCTTAAACAAGAAAGTTCTCCCTAAACCCCAAAGCAAGCTCAAGTAAGATCTAGCCTAATATTTCTTAGGCAGAAAAAGGATTCTGAAGATAACCTAAATTTACACTCTCAGATACTTAAGCCTTCATCTGAGAAGATCGAGAATGAAAGCCCTGAGCAGTCTCCAATTTTAAAGAAAATGAATCAAAACAGTACCTCAGGTGGTAATCTTGAGAGATCTAAAACCATCATCCCAGAGAAAGTTGACAAAGTCAAACTTCTTGAAAAATAGTTTAACGAAGATCAAGTAATACTTTAGTAACAACTTAGGTATAATCAAATTGAGGATAAGAATGAAGCAGAGGAAGAGATAGACCAGGATTTGTCCCTTGGATCTCTCATTAGAAGTCCTCAAAAAGAAGAACCAAACCTGAACACCACCTTTAAAAATGTTAGCAAAAAGCAGAGCAAGGAGGTAGAAATCAAGGAGGAGAACCTTCTCTTGGACCTTTACTTCCATACACTGGATAATAGCCATGTGTTTGATAAAACAGAGAAGAAGACTATGTTCAAGAGAGACATCCCTTTAGCTCAGCCACCCTCCACTAAATCTCGAAATAAAGATAAACGAAGTAAGAGAGTTATTAATAGTCATAGCCTCTTTTAAACATCAGAATGGAAGGAAAATTCCTGTAAAATAAATAGCCCTATTCTATCCTTGCATCGTCCTCATGCTGTTAATTATCAGCAAAAGAAGATAAAAATTATCAAGAAAACATATCAGCCTGATATGGCTGAGTAAGATTTAGAATTATCAGCTTTAGAATCGAAGAAGATCCTTCACTAAATTCAAGAATTAGTAACACTATTGTTCAAAGGAATCCTCATATTGCGATGTCTAAGAATAGACATAGATTGCAGTCCCAAAATATTCCAAACATCAGCCCAAAACAAGTAAATTTTATGCTAATACATCAGAAAATCTATAACAGAAATAGAAATAGAGGTTTTTCTAGTAGCCAAGAAGGTATTGGCTTGCCTCCTATTCATCCTTTAAGAAAGAGTGGGCCTAAAAAGGGATGACCAAAAAGAAGAAAAATAAACCCAGAAGCATCAAAAAATATTTCTCAAACGCCTCAAAATTTCCTTTGGAATCGTAAACCCTCAGATGGATTTGAACTTGCAAAACAAAAATTGCAAAGAAGCCGAGACTACTGGGTCTCAAACGTAAAATCAAAACTAAAACCCTCCAACCAAACAGCACACCCTGACCAACCTCCAAACCATCCAAAAACCGCTCCTACTCCTTCAACCGAATTCAAATTCATAACTCTAGAACAACTCTCTACCCAAAAAGGCCCCAAAATCCCCACTGTCCAATTCCATTCCTACCTAAACTCAATTTTACCCTATCCTTCAGGGGTTTTGGGGTTTTGGGGTTTTGGGGTTTTGGGG